GCATAATTCCCCAATTATATAAAAATTCCGCAAATTCTTCTACCGTCGTTTCTAAACGGAGTTTCGATAATTTTTTAAAAATGAATTTTTCGTTTCTTCGTGACATTTCAATGTCTGTTTCATAGTTATTCGAATGGTAGTCGATAATCTTTAAAAAATAAATTTAAAACCGAACTTTAGATATCACTGCCAAGCAATACCCCCTGTTTAAGATACCTAAATTCTATATATTATTTTTCAGTCCCAAGTATAGAAAGCATATAGCTATTAATTTCCTAAGTCTGTGCAGTAGGCGGCGTGGTGTAATTGATGAAAAATCAGTCCGGTCTACTGAAGTGCTGGTTCGCTACCAGCCGCCGATTAACCTTTTGCACTAGCTGAAGGAGAGAAATAGCTATAGCCCAGATGCTTTACTATATATGTATAGTGAGTTATGATAAATAGAAACAATTTCCTCAGAAAGATATTTATAGTGATATACCGGATTTCCTCAGATAGGCTGCCCCTCTATTAGTACTGCCCTCTAGAGCAGGATTGAAAAGTAGTACTTTCAGCAGCGCTATTTGAAGAAAATCGACAATTCAATAAATTTACCTCATTAAGATTTTTAAAAAATTTTCCCCCAAAATCGGTATTAAATCTTCCAAAAATCCCATCCAAAACATTTTCAGTTTTAATTTTCATAAAACTAGACAAATCGTTCAAATCTTTCAGATCTACCATAGAAACAGTTTTTAAAATTCGAATCAAAACGGATAGTTCTGTCAGAGTAAAATCAGAATTTTCTTCAGGTGAAGATTCTTCTTCAGGATAAAACTCTTCAGGGTTGAACATCTCTTCGGGACTGGAAACCTCTTTAGGAGGATTATCATATCCGGGCATTTTACCTTTTCCTTAATTTTAATATTTTTATTTCTCTAAATTTATTTAATAATTTTTATTTCGTTAATCATGAAGAATTGTGTTGGGCATATCTTCAATACAGGGCTCCTCCCTTAAATCCGCTAACATTGTAAGCCATCTTATTAGATGCCGATGTCCATGTCATATTTTTTGCTAATTAAGTGACACAGGGAAACCTTACTAATGATGATAAACCGCTAGTCATGAATATATAAAGGTTTAAAATTTAAAAAATAAATTTTTACCTTTATCAGCCCCGTAAATATGATGATGAAACGAACAAATAAAAAGGAAAATAAATATAGAAATATTCATTTTCAATTTTTATTTAAAAAATATTTTTAAATTTTTTATTTTTTTAATGTTTTATTTATAAAACTAAATTATATTAAAAATTAATTTAAAATAAAAATTTAAGAAAAAATAATTAAGAAAAAAAATATTTAAAAATAATTAAGGAAAAGCTAAAAATAAAAGGTAAATAAAGAGAAAGAAAAAAGGGAGGAGCTCTTAAATTTCTAAATAAAACATTGGGCGAGGGCATATGATAATTTTTCACGTGAATTATGCTGGCTTTTTTATTTTAATTTAAGCCGCCTTTCCTTTTCATGTCACTCTATTAAGGATAGGGAGAGGGTAGATAGACGTGATCAGGGCTGTTCGAAATTTCGATTTGTCTCTTTTAGCTCTTTCATCCGGTAATCATGTTTACCGCTTCTTTATTTAGAATCGGAACGAAATTTCGAGAGCTCTGAAAGGGAGATGGTGGTGGGCGAGAATTGGCGTCTATAGACTTTTAATCGACCAATTCTAAATAAATAAAACATTTAATAGACTTTTAGCAAATAAAATAAAATAATTTACTTTTAATTATAGTTGCAAAGGCAATTATCGTATATTCTCGAATAATTACCCTGGGTAATTTCTGCTTGAAACCCTCACTGAAGAGGATAATTAATATAGAGGGCTATTTAGAAAGTCTAATCATTTTTTAAGGGGGTAATGATTGCTTCAACTACTGGCTAGAGAGAGTAATTATTCAAGAGAGTAATTATTTGAGCAACTTCGTTATTACAATGGACTCTCTATTATCTTTTATATCACTCATTTTACTCAGGTTTTTTATTTGTAGGACATAAGTAATAATCTTTTGCATCAATTGTATATTTTAGCATCTATAGCAATATTCATTAATGGCAACTCGAGCCAAAATTAGCCGTTTATATCATAAATTTTAAAACCGGAAAACTTTTTTTGATACTATTTGCATTGTAGCCCCCCTCCCCCAACTTAGATGCTCAAATAATTACCCCCTCTTGAATAATTAATCTCTAGGGCGTTTGGGCACCTGTTTTCTGGCACCACAGTTGCCAAAAGCTTCACAGCTACGCGAAGGCACAGTATCCTTTTGAACGCTGTGTTTGGGGCCGAAGTCCTCCAAACGCCCCGCGACAACGCATCACAGTTGCCAAAAGCACCACAGCTACCCAAAGGCACAATATCCTTCTGAACGGTGCCTTCGAAAATGGGGTCGGAGGCCTCAAAAATGCAACACATTTCATGTAACCCGCCAAGCAAAAAACTATTCTAGCGCTTTTAAAGCCTCGGGCTTCCACGCGCGTCCCTGGCTACTCACCCTTCAGCTGGTTTTTATTTAAAAATATTTTTAATATTTTTAGATTTTTTGCTTTTTTATTTTAAATATTTAAAAATTCAATTTTTAATTTTTTTTAATAAATGAGAGTGTGTTATTTATTGCTTCATATTTGCTTAATGTTTTATTGATGGGGAGGAGTTTATAAAAATAGGATACCTAGGTATCTATCGTGCCCTTTTTTCAAGTAACTCTGATAGATTTTTAGAGGCAGCAAAAAATTTAAAAATATAAAATCAAAGAAGAATTGGGGATGGCATTTGAGATTCATATTGAAAAAAAATTTTGGCTCAACTTTTGGATCAAAATTTTGGCTCAGCAGTGTGGACCTCTCTCATTTTGGCTCAGCTTTTATTTATAATTTGAAACTTGGTAGCAATCCGGCCATTCAAAGTCGGATGTGTCTGGGATCAAGAATTGCCGGGGTAATTCAGGGTTCGGGTCGGGGTTTTTGCTTTAAAAAATCCGTCGGGACTGGGGTCGGCGTTTTCGGGGTCGGGTTGCTACCCTAATTTAAGCAGGTGGTTTGACTGAATGCTAATTAATAGGAGTTTGAAAAAATATTCCAAGTTATATCAAATAAATATAGGTATTTAATATATATAATTAAATAGGCATCTCTTTACTATAGACTCAGCTCGACGAGATCTTTCAAATGAGCCGAGCCGAGCTTATTCCCCCTATGATTTTTCAATTTTTCGGGACCTATAACTCAGTCCACAATAATTTCCTAAAGTCGTGAGTGATACCGTTCGTCTCAGCTCGTCGAGTCGAATCTAATGACATGTCACGTCCCAAACTTTTACCACCGGTGCACTACACTATATCCATATAATTAAATAAATATAGGCATCTTTCTACTATAATCACCTTATAAGAAATAAATCTTTGATAAAATTTTTCTTCTCATCCATCTGATTTTTTTCTAATTTCGCTAGTTTGGCCCAAAAGGAAATTACTTAAATTGGTGGATAAAAAAGAATATATAAATTTCTTCTCTAAATTTACTTTTACGCCATCCTGGCATTTTCTGTTGTTCTTAAAAAGAGTTGAAAAAAAAAGAAATTCCCGTGAGAATTAAAAAAAGAATTTGGGTAAAAGGTTTATTTTTTCTAATGGCAAAAATATGTAGTTAAAACAATTCAATTACAAAATACATTAAATTACACTTTTACTGCTTTTACTAATTTAAAAAAATTGCTAGTAAAACAAAGAAATAAATTTTTGGAAATTTTTTTTTTCAAAATTATCTTCGTCCATTTTATTTTCCATTTTATTTTACTAAAAAATTAAAAAAAATATTTTTTAATTTTAAATTTATTTTATTTTAATTTTAACATAATCAGTAGGGATGGGATTTATATGGATTTCCATATTTTTTTCCTGGCCTAGTTGGGTCGTGAAACGCACGAAAAACGTTGTTTTAGCATATGTTGATAAGACCGATAATGAGTTATCAATCCATATTTTCCATATTTTTCCATATTTTGGCTTTCCGTCCATATTTCCATATTTTATCCATATTTCGTCATTTTTTGTAAAATTTTGCCAAAAATTGGCCAAAATTTTGAAAATTTTGGCAAAAATTGGTCAAAATTTTCAAATTTTGGTATTTTTTTGTCAGAAAAAAAAATTTTTTTGAGAAAATTAAGAAAAAATTTTTGAAAAAAAAATTAAAAAAAAATTTTTGGTAAAAATTTTTCGAAAAAATTTTCTGAACAACCTGGGAAACACTTTAAATGTACCTTTAATTGACAAAAACCCTTTAGAAAACACTTAAAATGACCAAAATCAAATTATTTATTTGTAAAAATTCATTTTTCCATCAAAAATTTTCATTTTTCGGTCCATATTTGATCCATATTTTGGATTTTAGTCCATATTTCAGTCCATATTTTGAGATTTTTAGTCCATATTATATGTCCATATTTTTCGATTGATAGTCCATATAAATCCCATCCCTAATAATCAGACATCACTATAAGATACTAGGGTTTGGGGCCCGATCCGGCCGGCCCGAAAGATCGAGTCGGGCATTAATTTTGGCCCGAAAAAGAGAGGTCAGGCCGGCCCGAAAAAATGAAGCTCGAAAAAATGACTCGAACGCCGACCCGAATCCAAAACCCCAACGCTATAAGATACCCTCTTAAGGCCTAATTTTATTTTATGATGTGTTTCTAAAATAAAAAATCTTTAAAAAATTATTAATTAGCTTAACATTAAACATCTCATCCTAGTGGATAGATATCAATGGATGAGAAAAAAGCCGGATCGGGTTTCGGTCAAAATATTCCGAGTTATGAAGCTTCGAGGAGCCTCCCTAACCTAGTGACCTAGTCCCTGCCCTAGTGTCCAACCAAATTTTTAAAAAATCGTATAGTAAATAGAGGTGTATCTGTTATTTGGTGTATCTTATATTGAGGTTCTTTTTGCTTAAATAACATTAAAATTCATTTTAAAAATAAAAATGCTTTACGAAAAACAACAAAGGAAAATTAATTCCGATGAGTATAGCAGTATTAGCAGTAATGAAATTTTACAAGAAAATGAAGAGCTGCTTAATCCATGGGCTTTAATTGGGCGAGAAAATGATGAGAAAGAGGAGGTTGTTTTGAATAACAGATTAAAATAATTAAAGTAAAAATGAGCAAATCTAAGTAACCCATCTTAAAGCATAGGGAATGCCTCCTCCAAACTCCAAAAAATTCAAAAAAGACCACCCTTGCTGTAACACATTTATTTTTTATATTTTGTTAAAGTAAAAATATTATTCCCTAGGGGTAATAAAAATAGGAAAAAAAATTTTTTAAGAAGGAAAAGGCGTCAAATAGCTTAAGAACTTGGCCAAAAAAGTCAAAACTTTTTGTTTAAAAAAATTGTAAAACAAAAAAATGTTTTTACAACGTCCCGAATTTGTCCAAAATTTGCCTTTTATTCCGAGAGATGTTATTTCAAAAAATGTAGCAGATTTAAAAATAGATTCAAAGGTCTGTTTTTAGTAATATTAATAGAGTTGTTGTAGAACCGAGCAGAAGAACAAAGCACAGAATTTTCCTGTTAGGTTGTTCGATTCTATCTGCTCGATCCCAGATACCCAAAAATTCTCGTAGAACCGATATCCAGAATATTAAAAAAAGTTTTATGAAAGGGCTTTTATTTTTTATTAGAGACCAAGCCTCCATTAGAGACCGAGCTAAGCCCCAAGATCGAACGGAGCAATCCTCAAAAATTTTTTCAGGAGGTTCTACATAATAAAGGTGTGACAGCAAGGTTAAGAGCGCTGTCTAGAAAATTTAAAAAAATTTTATTAATTCGAAATTTTTATTTTAGCATATGCCTGTGTGGAGAAAATATGCGCGGATGTATGTAATTTTAAATTTAATTTATTATCAGGCCCTACTAAGAAATAAAATAAATTTTAATAATTTTAAAGCGTTCTTCCACACATTGGACTTATTTTGCTATCTTTATTTTATGTCGTTGGAGGGGCTTTTATTTTTTATCATTTGGAGAGTCCAAACGAGATGGATATTAGGCGAGATGTAAATTTTATTTTTTCTCAAAAAAAATTTTCTAAAAATTTTTTTCAAATAAATTAGACAATGGAATTAATAGAAAAAGAAAGGAATGATATGTTGGAATATCTTTGGATAAAAATAAATGATGAAAATTATTCTGAGGAAGAGTTGGAACAAATCGCGTTGGAAAGGGTTGATAACATTAGTCGTATTCTGTTTGAAGCATTTGATACACACTATGTTGGACTGTCTCTGTTACAAAGTGAAAATGTCAATGTAACACAGGGGACATGGAGTATGACAACTGTAAGGATGATTCACCTAGAGCATTTAAAAAATTAAACGATCTAAAGGGATAAAAGAGGAAGTACTAGTCGATGCCCCGGTAGCTCAGTTGTAGAGCTCCTGTATGTGGTGAGCGATAGCGCTTAGCAATAATCGTCTAAAGGTAGCAGGTTCAATCCTGCCCGGTGGCTAAACTTACTGCAGAGCCATAACTTCGTTCAGAATTCTCGAATCCGGGACCCTGGTATGGTTCGAAACGTCTCGATGAGCTGAAACAAACCATGCAAGGTCGTCACGGATTCGCCCATTTTGAACGAAATTATAGCTCTGCGGTAAGTTGGGCTCGAGGTAAATTGGAGTGTACCCCTGAACGGTGTCTAAACTTTTGCTAAACTCTTTCTCAACGTTGGGAAAATAAATCAGAATTTTTTGTATTTTCCGGAAATTAAGAATATTAAAATTAAATTTTTTTTTTTTCCGGAAATATTCAGAAATTCTTAGGCAATTTTCTTCACATCGACCCTTCTAACAACTATCGGCTATGGTAATTTAGTGCCTGTAACCAGCCTTGGTCGGATGTTCTGTATATTTTATGCACTCTTTGGTGTTCCATTAATTTTAATTACAGTGACTGACATTGGAAAAGTTTGTACATTAACGTTATTTTCCCAAAAAAATTTTTTTTCAAGTTCCTCTCTGAACAAATAGTTTGGCTATATACTCGTTATGCGAGGGCAAAACATCGGTTTAGAGACCGTTTATTACAACAGCAACAACAGCCTTTATCTTCTGGGGCAGCAGAACTTGCCTCAGCTTCCTCTCCGCAGAGAAGTATGCTGCGAGCACAACTACACGAACTTGGATTAGATAACGTCCATATCCCGATAACCTTAATTGCTGCAATTCTGATAGGTTATATGAGCATAGGGTAACTACATATAATTAAAATTATTAAAATTAAATGAATAATTAAAATGTGTTTTACTGAAAAATTCTGATTATGTATTTTATGGAAAAGTTCTGATATCGAGTTTAGAGGAAAAATTCTGATTTTGTGATTTGGAAAATGATCTAGCGTCTTTACTGAGAAATTCTAATTTTGTGTTTTACTGAAAAATTTTGATATTCTGTTTTACGGAAAAATTCTGATTTTTGTAAATTCTGATTTTGTGTTCTCTTAAAGAAATGCTCTTAGATTCTGATTTTGTATTTCTCTGAATTCTTATAATTTCTGATTTCTTATTTCAATCACTTAATTTTAGAGCCCTTCTCTTGGCAAGCTGGGAAAACTGGGCATTATTTGATGGTTTTTATTACTCTTTTATAACAATGACAACAGTTGGATTTGGCGATTTGGTTCCTACAAAACGAGAATTTTATATTATTGACCTTTTCTACATCGTGGTCGGTTATACATAGAAAATTGTATTAAGACAGAAGACGGGACAGGGAGAGTTTGAGACCCATATAAAGAGAAATCCCGATTCTCGATAACTGAGATTTCGTCTCAATCCGATCTCTAATTGGACCATTTTTCCTCTCAGAAAATTTTTTAATTATAAAATTTCTTAAGGTTGGACTTGCTATAACTACAATGTGCATAGACCTAGTTGGCATTGAATACATCGAAAAGGTTAGCCAGAAGAATTTCAAATTTTAACTTTTCCCTATCCCTACTATTGACTGGGCGGGGCAGGGGGGAGGGATCCAAATATAAACAGATAAATTCTGTATATAACAGCTAGGTAATTATCAAATTCCCCCTCACAGATTCACTACTTTGGTCGTGCAATTTCTGGCGCTCGTTTTGCTTTAGTCAACGTCGGAGGAAAAATGGTTAGGGTACCAGACTTGATGAGATGTGCCCACGTATTACAGCAAAAATATGGACAAAGAAAGACCTCTGGAAAAAATAAAAATGATTCGACAACAACTGCATTACTTCACCAATTTATTGTTTGGCGGGGAGCGTAAGAAATTTAAAAATAATATGGGGTATATAAAATTTCAAAAAAAAAATTTTCAGCTATGCACCAAGAGATCTAGGCTATATTCGATTTATTGACATTGGCTCACTTGCCAGCTTTGAATCTTTGTCAAGTTTGATCTCAAGTATTTTTACCGGGAAAAAATCAAGAGAACCGAGTGTTGTTGTACCAACATATGTTTGAAAAATTTTTTTGTTTTTGCTCATAAATTTATAATTAAATTTTAAAAATAATTTAGAGAATTGACAAAATTTTTATTATTCAAAAAATATTTTTATATTAAGCGGATAAACTTAAGCTCCTCAACGTTTGGCATTTAAAGTAAAAGAATTGTTTTATAGCAAAATACTTTAATTCCAAATTACTAATGAAATAAAAATTATAAAGAAATATTTTAAGCTCCTGTGGGTTTATTTCTCCTCCTTATCGAAATTACTTTTTCGAAAAGTCTCTCGATAACCATGGTTTTTGTTCGAGATCTCGTCGCATTCTAAACCCTATTTTAGGGCATTATTTTCCCCCAACCTTTATTTTTATTAAATTTTGTTATGTTTGGACTTGAGGTTGGCTTTAAAATCATAAATTAAAAAAAAATTTTTTTTGAATTATGTTTTTGCTCCCATATGTTTGATTAAATTAAAAATATTTTTATTTAATTTAGGAAACCCCGAAAAAAAATTTTATTATTGAAAAATTTTTTATAAAAGTTTGTTACATCAAGCAGTTAAAAAGTTGACTCAATGCTGTTCTTTTAAATCATAATTGTCTTTTAACATGTACAGCTTGTTGAATGGTGCTTCTCGCAACATTCCATCCGGTGTTTACAATCGTCATACCTGAGTTTTTTGGTTTAATAATAATTATTAATATTTATTTTATCAATAAAAAACTGATCATAATTATCTGGTAACTTACTTATATTTTCCAAAACAATCCTCTAGTCCAGGCACATCAGAAGGCCATGAACGCTTAGCACGTATTAAAGTAGAAAAATCATCTTGAAAAAATTATTTAATCATATGAAATTTTTAATAGACAAACCAACAGCTACAGATTTTCCATTTTCTATTGCCGAATTTATTTTAATAATGCAAAAGATAAAGGTTAAGAAAACAGCGATTTTTATCATTACGTTATTTAATTTTTTTAATATTTTAACGCTGAAATTTAAAAAAAATTAATCAGAAAGGGTATTTTCTTAAAAATGAGATGTGCCTTAAATAGAAGACATTCGCTCTTGAGGGCAAGATAATTAAAGACGGAACCGTAACTAGATCTCAATCGAAAATCTCGGTTATGGAGCGAGATTTCTTCGAAACCTCGATTCTCTTACGACACTCCCAGTTCGTCTCTAAACATAAGTATTTAGAGGGATTCCACTGTATAAAAATTTTTTTGTATTTGAAAAATTAAATAAATTTTTATTTTATAAAGGTTCTACTGAATTTCTATATATGCTTTTATATTTATTTATTCAATAAAAAATGAATAAAAGTAATTAATTAAAATGGGGCGTTAAATAAATAATTAATTAATACTTTGTTTTTTTCTTATAGTTAAATTAAAAAATAAATTTATTTGGTAATTATTAAATTTAATAAAAAAAGGAAATATTTTCCAAAACTTGTTTTTAAAGGAGAAAAATAAACTTTAATGTTGAGTCATTTAAAATAATGTAAAGAAATAAATTTTAAAATAGACTTTCTTTGGAAGTTTAAAATAAAATATAACAATTGTTCGAGATTTTTATTGGATTTTAATTTGTTTTATTTTCAATTATTTAATGGATAAATAATTTAAAAATAAATTAATTTTTGGGTAAACCATTAAATTTTGAAATTGTTAATAATGGTTCATGTTAATCTCTATTTTTTCTTCTTTACTAGAGCTTAGATCCAGATTTCAATATTTTGATCAGTTACCCTACTAGGGATGCAAGCAAATTTTGTTGACGGGGATAATTGTATAATTATAATCCTACGGAAGCACACGAAAAAACCTCACAATAAAAGTTGTGAGTCTAGACTCGGTAACAAGAGTCATTATCCTCACTTTAATGTAGGGTAGTTCCCTGTCCCTCGTACACCGACCCGTACCTCCACGATTTTTTGGTAAAGACCCCAAACCTAACCCCGAAGGTGCGGGGAGCTACACTACTTTAATTTAACTATTAGTTCAAATAAATTATTAAAAATAATTTTTTTATAAAAAATATAAAATAATATTAAAGATTTTTTATTATGTATGATAAAATATAATTTTTTATGAATTATTGGATAGCCTTGAAAGCAATAAACAAATATTTTATTGATATACATAGTTATAATTAATTATTCGTCTCCAAATAAACAAATAAATAGTAAAAATAAATAAATAATTTTTTTAAACATACTTGCAGTTTTTACACAAGTTCTTAATTTTAATATCACCTTTTTTAAATTTAAAACCCGTTTGTCTGTTGATAAAAAAATTTTTTATTGTCAAAAATTTTTTAAAGTATCATTTGAACAAATAAAAAGTTACTTAATTTTTAGGTATTCTCTAAAATCCCCAAAATATGAAAATAATTTATACGGATATATGTAAAAATATATTTTATAATATTGTTGCTTCATTGGTATTTCAAACAAATTATTTTAGTTTTGCAATTTTATTTGGGCAGGTAGATGAATTATTTTGTCTATATATCGTTTACATTGTCACTCGGATCGGGTGTTTTCTGGCTCAATACGATATTTTTAGATATTTTTCGATATTCGGTTTCGATATCCATCGAAATAATACTTACCTACCCCTCCATCCGGGCTTTAGTTCCCAGCCCCAAGTGCTAATGAACAGGGGAGGACCTGAAACCGGGAAAATTCCCCTGTTCATCCTGGATCTTTAAAAGGTGAAAAAGGGATCGACGCGTTCAACACCTGTTATGGATCCAGTGTATTGTTGAGCTTATATTATTCATTTTCACAATCTGTTCCTCTAAAGAATTTTTCATTCACCAATAGCAAAACGAAATTCGTTTGTTAGAATCTCTAGATGGTTTGTGGACATTTGTTCGAGAACCGGCAAATAGTGAAGGAATTGGTATTATTAATAATTGGGCAGAAATGGATTTGAGCTTTAAATTTGAGGTAAATTTATATGAAAAATTAGTGATTAGTAATATTAATAATTAGTAATATTAATAAAAATTAGTAATATTAAAGTTGCTCATTGACAGTTAACCAAACCAAAAATGGTGTTTATATTCTAAAAAATTGTTTAAATTTTTAAATACACCTTTCTCTCCAAGCTTTCTAATTATGGTTGGTCCCTCTTAGGTTTTCTTCCTCTTAGGTTTCGTCTCCCCGTCTTAGGGAACGGTATGTTGGTGAATCCGTGTTGTAGACCAGCCTTTGCTAATTTATTTATATCTGAATTAACCTACATAATAAATTTAAAAATTAAAAATTTTTTCACTAAAAATCAGAATGCTACTAAAATACCCGTTCCTGCAGCTTACAACGATTTATCATTCGAAAGGGATCTACAAAATCATGTTGGGTGGGTTTGGTACCAACGCCATTATTGGCTACCTAGTACCTTAATTAATAATCAAAATAATCGTCCTCGATCATTTTTACATTTTGGAAGTGTTCAGTATTTTGCTATAGTGGTAAAATTAAAAAAATTTTTGGAAAAAATAAAAATTTTCCCAAGTATTTAAATGGTAAAGAAATTGGAAGGCATGTAGGCGGACATTTACCTTTCCAATTTGAACTGGAATTAATACAAAATTTTCCAAATTTAATTACAGTTGCTGTAAACAATACGCTTTCGAGTTATACTATTCCACCTGGCGAATTTAATATTATAAATTTGTGAGGAATTTTTAAAAAATATTTTGAAAGTTTACTACTCGACCATAGCTAGCACACGACCACAGTCATTTGAAAAATCATAACTAAGTTTAGAAAAGTCATCGAAGGAAGATTTTGATACCATTCGATGCAGCTCGAAAAAGTGCATCGAATGATGTCAAAATTGTCATGATTAGATATATCTGCTATGAGTTAAGGGCCCTCAAGTAGAGTAACCACAATAGACCGGGGGTTCTGCTTGAAATATTTCCTTAAAATTAAATGGCCATTAAAAAAAGTTTTTCAAGATCATCTGGTAATAAAATAATCCAGCAGACTCCAAACTTTGATTTTTTCAATTATGCGAGTATTTTGAGACCTGTTCAAATTTGGCATTTGCCTCAAATATTTATTAATGATATTAAATTAATTGCTGATTGTTATGGTTTATTTAGAGAGATTTTTGAAAAAAAATTTAAATAAAGGAAATTTATCCTATTCAATTGAAATTAATGAAAAATTACAAATTTTACCAAAAATAATTGTTACAATTTCTTATGGGAATAAAATTGTTGCTTTAATGGAAGGGCTAAACAATGAAACTAAATTAGAGAAAGCTAATTTATGGTGGCCTAGAGGAATGGGAAAACCTAATCTTTATATAGCTGAGGTATCTAAATTTATATAATGCTTGTAGGCTAAGTATCCTCACAGCCTAACAAATAAAGCATAAATGAATACCATCGATCAGTGGTTATAAAAAATCATTGGTTAAATAAACGTTTGCTGTATAAAGTTGGAATGTAGGTACATTCGATTGGCTGGACCTTGGATCTTAGATGAACCTTAGATTGAGTTTATATAGAGTGATGAGAAATATGAGAAATCCTTATCGATGGTGTTCACTACAAGAGTTTAACTTTGCGAGAGTTGCACGCTTCCAATGCGTTCCAGTTTTAATCATAATAATGCCAAGAACTTCACTGAATTATTTAAAAAGAACTTAATAATAATCTTTAAACAAAAATATTTTCAGGTTAAATTATTCTCAGAAAATAATGGAATTTTGTTAGACGTTTATAGAGGTCTGAATAAAAATTTTAACTTAAAAAATGTTTTTAGAAACCTTTGGATTTCGTTCTGTATCCATAGAAGATGGTCTAATTTTAATTAATAATAAACATTTTTATTGTTTTGGGTTTGGAATGCATGAAGATTTTGAAGTTTTTTTTTCAAAATATTTTTTAATCTTCAACATAAAAGGTTCATGGAAGAGGCTTTGACCGTTCTGTAATGATTAAAGATTTAAATATTTTTGAATGGCTTAATGCTAATTGTTATAGAACATCACATTACCCTTATAGTGAAGAAAGAGCCTATGAAGCTGATAGAAGGGGAATTGTTGTTATTACTGAAGTGTCTGCCGTGGGATTAAGGTAGGAATATAGCCCATGACCAAATGTGTTGAAGAATTTGGAGTCAGATATTGTTTGAGTTTTTTTCCGGGGTTAAGTCTTTTGGGGTCGGATCGGGTTAAACAAAGATGATGTCAAACACTAGGATAGAGTTTTTATGTCACTCGAGAAACTTTAAGAGTAAAGCGAGAGCTGAACTGTTAGAGTGAAGCAATAGCTGAGAAGTGTCACTACTACATAATGTCGAAAACTAATTCTAGGAAGATCTAGAAAGTGAACAATCTATGGATTGAGTGATTTGCTGTCAAAAAGTGATAGCTAAACCTCAGGATTACGTAATGGACCGGTCCTGGCTCACTTACAAGACAAGCGGATTAGAATTGAAATAATCACTTTTTTCCTCAATATTCCTTGTTTAGTGATTATACGTGATAATTTATCATTTAAATCTAGACAATTCAAAATAATTAAATTATTCCCCAGAAATTTTGACAAAACATTGGCAAAATTACACGCAAGAATGATTACCGAGATGATCAATCGAGATAAAAACCATCCTTCAGTAATTGCTTGGTCTTTAGCTAACGAGCCTTTAATTAAAGGAGACGCTTCTTTTGAATATTTTAGGTAACTTTAATTAAATTTTCCTAAAATTTTTAGTGATTTAACTATTTTAACTCGCCATTTGGACCCTACTAGACCAATTACTGCTGTATTTGGGTATTTGTCTTATAGAAAAATTGTAAATAAAATGATAATATAATAATTTTTTGAATTTTTTTAGTTTAATTTATTCGATATTATTTGTCTTAATCGTTATTATGGTGAGAAATTTAAAAGAGATTTTCTTTAAATTAATTAAATTATTAAGGTTGGTATCATGGATTAGGGCTTATTGACGCTATCAAGGATTCTTTGGTTAGCCTTAGAGTTGGGCGGGATCGGGATCCCGACGTAAAATCGGGATCGGGATTTTGGAATGATGATCCCGATCCCGGTCCCGATCCCGACTACGGGATCGGGATTGGACGAAATCGGGATCGGGATTCGGAATAATGATCCCGGTCCCGATCCCGACTCGGGATCGGGATTGAAAAATCGGGATCGGGATTTAGTTTAAAAAAATTTTCAAAATTTAAATTTTTATTTACATTGCATATACCTCAATATAATTCCATAATTTTCATCTGCTGTGCTGAAATATTCATTTTAAGTCCCAGCGCGCATTTGTTCTTGGCGTATCAGGGATTAAGAAGGAGGGATAAAGTATTAACGATAAGGTGATTCTGATGGATTAAGAGGGATATCGTTGATTAATGAGATATTGGGATTAGATGGACATCTAGGATATCCATTATATCTGTTCAAATCCATTCCGTCGATAGTTTATAAATGAGTCTCTTCTTATTCACCGCCGGAGGCAAAAATTTTGAAAAATTTCGAAGATTCTCAAGCCAAAATCTTCATTTTTAGCGCCGCAGGCGAAAATTTTGAAAATTTTGGATGGCGTAGAAGCCAAATTGCTTTCTTTTCAGCTCATTAATTTATATTTTCATTAATTTATAAAATCCCGATTTCATCGGGATCCGATTGCTAATCCCGATCCCGGTCCCGATCCCGGCTCGGGATCGGGATCGGCCAAAACCGGGATCGGGATTTGTCTTTCGGGTTCGGGATCAGAAAAATCGGGATCGGGATTCAAAAAAAACGGGATAATCCCGCCCGATCCCGACCGGGATCCCGATCCCGCCCAACTCTAGTTAGCCTATCTTCTTAAATATATTTAGTATTCAATGCAGGACCTCATTATAAGATAAACCCTTGGACTTCGAATTTTTCTATCTTTAATGAGGTGTATTATAAATAGAGTGTATCTTAAATAGAGTGACAAGAGTTCATCCTTCATGTCACTCATTCAAGTGCCAATATCGAGTTGGAAACCATGTCCAAAAATACGGGGGAATATTGGGATTTCTCAGCCAAGTGCCAATGTCTTGCTAGAACCATGCCCAAAATATAGATGAATATTGGGAAAAAGTGTGAGCGAGGAGGACCCGAAGGACTGGTAAGAGCTTCATGAGATAGGCACAGCCCAGGGCCAACCAGAATTTAAAATCTTTATTAGGTATATTGAGTTTTTCATTATGGTATAACTTATCCTAGTGAGGATCGTCCGTTTATATTCAATAAATAAAAATTTAAAAAGTCCATTCATAAAATTTAAACATAAAAATTTTTTAGTTAAAAGAATTAAACGATTTTCGATCACAATTTCCTTCCAAGCCCATTTATATGACCGAATACGGTGCTGAGGCAATTCCTGGACTTCATGAGATGCCTAGTGCCCCTTTTACTGAACAATACCAAGTAGAAATAATTCAAAAAACGACTCAAGTTTTTGAAGAGTTGAGACTTGCTGGGCACCTTTCGGGGGAAATGTTGTGGAATTTTGCTGATTTTATGACTGCCCCAAGTTTTTTTTCATTCAAAAATATTTTTAAAAAAATATTTGAAGGCACTTCCAGAGTTGTTGGCAATCATAAAGGCATTTTGACGAGGGATCGGAAACCAAAAATGGCAGCCCATTTTATAAAAAGAAGATATGGGTATTTGCTTAATGAACAAAAAAGATTGTTTTATAAGAATGAGCTTTAAATAAATAATTATTTTTTTTATATAAATAAATTTAAAAAAATTTAAAAATCTTTTTAACACGTATTGAACTTCCCCTACCTTGTCTCAAATAATTACCAACCCCAGCAAGAGAATGAAACAAATATTTAGGATAATTATTTGAGCATATCTGATAGTGAACTCTTTTGAAGGTTCAAGCCAATTATTCAACCAACGAAAATATTTTCATAGTCAACAATTTAATTTGTCCAAATCAGACCGGCGAACCTCGAATTTCCCACGTTTGATCCAAATTTAATTTTTCTTGTTCTAGGCCTCTATTTGATGGACCTCTCTTTATAATCAACTTCCACTTCTCTCGAAGGAGGGAGTTGATTTTATTTAAAATTAGACCTACTCGATTTAATTTGTCCAAATCAGACCGGCGAACCTCGAATTTCCCACGTTTGATCCAAATTTAATTTTTCTTGTTCTAGGCCTCTATTTGATGGACCTCTCTTTATAATCAACTTCCACTTCTCTCGAAGGAGGGAGTTGATTTTATTTAAAATTAGACCTACTCGATTTAATTTGTCCAAATCAGACCGGCGAACCTCGAATTTCCCACGTTTGATCCAAATTTAATTTTTCTTGTTCTAGGCCTCTATTTGATGGACCTCTCTTTATAATCAACTTCCACTTCTCTCGAAGGAGGGAGTTGATTTTATTTAAAATTAGACCTACTCGATTTAATTTGTCCAAATCAGACCGGCGAACCTCGAATTTCCCACGTTTGATCCAAATTTAATTTTTCTTGTTCTAGGCCTCTATTTGATGGACCTCTCTTTATAATCAACTTCCACTTCTCTCGAAGGAGGGAGTTGATTTTATTTAAAATTAGACCTACTCGATTTAATTTGTCCAAATCAGACCGGCGAACCTCGAATTTCCCACGTTTGATCCAAATTTAATTTTTCTTGTTCTAGGCCTCTATTTGATGGAGTTGATTTTATTTAAAATTAGACCTACTCGAGATTGGAAAGAAATTCTTTGGCTTTAAAAATTTTAATTTTTTGGCTTTTGCAAATATAAATCAACGTCAAGGATGTCATTCATGATTTTTTATTTCTTAATTTTTTTAAATTTTTTGTTTATTTATTTTTATTAAAAAAGCGTAGGTGTCTAATACACTTTTAAACTATGTTTGTGTGTCATTGGTATAATTTATTGATAACAACAATGGTATTTAATTGTATCAAAATAAATTAATTTATTATTCACACCCACAATCACTTAACCCCTCTTTTTTTCAGATTTTTATAAAATTAAACAGCTGTTTTACTCAAGAGTCTCTGTCCCTTATATTTAATTTCAAAAAAAAATTTCTTTTTTTTTTATTACTGACAGCTTTTAAAAATATAAAAAAGGAAAGAAGATCACAAATCGATTTATTTCCGTTGATCATTAAAAAAAATTTTTTACGATTTTTCCACTTTACTATTTTTTATTGTCATTCTCAAAGGATTAGAGTGAAGTAATGGAGATATTGTAGTAATAATATTAACTCTAGGATGGCTTTTGTTTTGCAGCGTGGCTAAAATTGCATCCAGAAGATCACCCATATAGCTCAGAAAATCAGACCGCAATGGTCTTCAAATAAATATTTGGTAGTTCCTGAGTATCAGAGATGGTCTTTTCCGCATTTTAAAAGACGAAATTCGGTAAGATGGACTACAGAAGCAAATGAACGCCCATCTTTGCTGTCTAATAGGGTTGTCGGATCCGGATCCTGATATCCAAAATTTCGGATCCGGAGCGAATCAACTCCCATCTTTGCTGTTTAATAGGTTGTCGGATCCGGATCCCGATATCCAAAACTTTGGATCCGGATACCTATGCGGAAATCTTGGTTCGGATATCCGAAGTTTTCCAACTATTCGGCAACCTTACTGTCTATGTAAATGTCATCCGAACGGAAGCTTTGTGAATGCTCTCCCTGTCTTTTCGGTGTTGGACATAAGGAACTGTTATATTTATCTGTCCTTGTCTGTCTGAAATCTGTCATGGAAAATTTGAAAGTTTTATTAGAGGCTGGATCGAGACGAGATCTCGGACGAACATCTTAATTCTTAGAGATATCTCTCAGAGATTCTTAGAGATGTCTCGTACGATTCTCGTACGGCCCGCCCATTCCGGTCTCTAATATTTATATATCGTTCACAGCCCCATAAATCATTCACCTACGTCCTTCTTTCTTTATCAGCATGAAGACTAGACTTTTTGTTAGGATTTTGATAAATTACTTTTTTCGATCTTTTGAGATTTTCGGATAGACCAGCAATTGACTTTTATGCTGCTAAAAAAAGTATAGGAAAAAATATTTTACGGGCGATGCTAGAAAGAGGAAAGATCTAGCCATTTTTACGATCACTAGCTACATTACTTTTTGCTATATTTAAAGCGGATATTAGCTTTTTTTAAATAGGCGGCATTTAAAAAAGAATGAAAAAAAGAAGAGAACAAAGATTTAAAGCCACACATTTGTTGTTGCCAGATGTCTATATTTGAGGGAGGAAAAAGAATTTTTGTTTGATTCCTTCCCTAAAAGTTTGATTATAATGAGAGGCTTTATTACTATTTTAAATTTTTACTATTTTATTTAAAAATAGTAAAAATTACTAAAAATAGGTTTATTGATATTTGAAGAATTTTTTAAATTTTTTAAAATTATTATCTTAAATTTTGTTTAAACTAAAAAATCATAATTCTTCTTGTTTATTTTAATAACTGATCTAAAGGCGAATCAGAATTCGAGCTAGCTCGATTAGGAATGGCCCCTATGACTGGATCATCCTATTAGAGACTTCGAGCTAAATGTATTTCATTAGCTAACGTATTTCCTCAAATAATATGCCATATCATTCTATCTTTGAATCACCTTCCAGAAGAGGCACTCTATTAGGAAAGCCCTCTCTTCTATTAGGAATGGCCCCCATCAGAGGGGAGTCGGAATTCCGATTTCCGCGTTTTTTCCGACTTCCGAAAAAAATTTTGATTTCCGAGTTCTGAATTTTGAGCCAGTTCCGATTTCCGGCTCTTCCGATTTCCGACACGTCTGACTGTTCCGACCCATCTTTGGCCCCCATGCCGGGATCATTGTATTAGAGGAAATACAGTAGTCTAGAGCAAGGATGTCAAAGGGGCCCAAAACTTATTTTAGATATTTCGGATCGAACCCGACTTTGTCCTTGTTTATAAAGATTATACCATTGTAATGATGATTCGTCTGGCAGCATTTAAACGCTTAAACGAGAGGAGGAGTTTAAGATTAAGAGAAAAGGGAAAAACAAAAGCTAAAGGTCCCTTCCACCCGGTTAGCTAATACTTTTTGCTTCATTCTTACCACTTCATTTTAATAATATAATTATTTAGAAAAATATTAATTAAACTTGTATTTATTCTAAAATCAAAAAATGGTTGATCTTTCAGTCAATTGTTGTATTGACTTACAAAATGGACGTTGTTCTTCTTTATCCCCCTTGGAACGGTCAACAGAATTTAAGTGTAAATGTCCATTTCCAGCATTTTATCAAGAAAAAGAGGAAAAAGAGAAAAGTAAAAGAGAGGAGGAAGAAGATTTGGAAGATGAAGATGAATTTTACGACTGTGAAGATGATGATGATGAAGAATACGATGATGAGGAGGATGAGGAAGATGAACAAAATGAGGAAAATGCTGGGAATGATAGGAAAAATAAAAAGAGAAATGTTTCGGCCCACTGGACAGCCCATTTATCTGCTAGTAGATCACCAGCTCCTGAACGTGTACAGGTAGGAAATGAAGTTTAAATTGACGTTCTTAATTTCCCATTTACTCACCCATTGTAAACTTCTTCTTATAACATTTATTTTGAAGATAACCTCTATATAGTGGACTCTCTTCCTCGTACCCTTTCTGAGGAGTATAGCCCGATATGTACGACAGGGCTTAGATCGTCCTAGAGAATTTGTGAGGTGTATCACCCAAATTTAATGAGGTTTATCTTAAATTGGATGTACTGCTTATCCAGCTCTCAGGAGGCTCTCGCCGAGCTATAAACTTCTCCAAACTTAATTCCGGTTTTCCGTATGGTTTTTTCATCTTAAAGCTTAAGTTTCCTTACTAGGGTTCAGCATACTAGGGCTAAGCATCTTTATTTTCCGCAATTTAAAGGATGGTGCCCAAGCAGAATTGAACGCAGAATTTGTTGAAATAAGCGAGGTTATTGCTTTACGTTATAGTAGATTATCTTTGGCACACAATCCAAGTTTATTAATTGGCCCCTCTTCACCAACAATAGCAAATGGTACTTTTCAACAGAACGGTGGGGTGAGGGGAATTGAAGTTCCTAATGTAGCTGTACAACAAGGTATATAGAATTTTTTTGTTTTTAAACAAAAATTCTTCAGATGAATCACAAATAATGATGAAACGTTATTTAATCCCTATATGCACAATTGGAGAAGGGGCTTTTGGACGTGTTCAGTTATGCCAACATAGAGAGACTGGGAGATATTATGCTTTGAAATCTATGTAAAAAATATTTGAATTAACATAAATTTTAGTTAGAACTCAGTATACCCACTCGGTGTAAAAGTAACGTCCCTATAATGAGGTGTCACTTACATAGAGAGTATGCCTGGGCATTTCTTCCAACTAATCTCCACAACCTGCCTAATTTAAACAATGTAGTTTTTAAATAGCTTAGATAATTTAGCTTCGATTTATCTTATACCTATTATTGGATGTGTCTTATAGAGAGGTGTTTGATTGTATACTATTTAATAAATCTCAATTCCCCCCAACTTTCCTTCAAAATTTTCTTCATTTCTCTTTAAAATTGACTTTAAAAAACATTTTAAGGTACATTCCAAAAATCGTAGAGAGGAGGCAAGTACAACACGTTCACCAAGAGAAAAGAATACTTCAAGCACTTGATCACCCTTTCATCGTTAAATTGTTTGTTTTTGTTTGCACTAGGATTGAGAGAAAAATATTTTGAGGGAAAAATATTGGGATTTTCTCGAAAATTAGACGAAAAATAAATTTAAATTTGGAGAAAATTTTAATCAAAAAAATTTTTTAAAGATGGGACACAGCAAAAGACGCAGCCAATTTATTTATGGTAATGGAATTTCTGCCTGGAGGAGAGCTTTTCTCGTATTTTCGAGCCGCTAGAAAATTTCCTTCACAAACAGTTAAATTCTATGCTGCCGAGATTATTCTTGCCCTTGAATATTTACATTCCATTTATATTGTTAGTTTTTTTAAAGTTTTTAAAGACTTGGTCTTGCAAATTCCAGCCCTTAATCACTAAAATAGCTGCCCTCAAAATAATATAGTTGGAAGCCCTGAGTGTGTGAGCAAGTTTAAATACCCGAACCAGGGAGGTAAAAAATGTGAGTGAGCAAGTTTAATACTACACGTCCTTAAGTGTAAATATCAAAAATGCTTTGGTAACATCCACCAGTGTTTTGATTACACAAACTTTTCAGATGAATGTTTAGGACATTTTTAATTTATTAAAATGTACATACTAATATGATTAAGAATAGTATGTAAGAGGAGTCAAAAGTTTGGTTGGAGCCGGCAGATCCTGCTACAGATCCTGTAGCATGTCCTACAGATCCTGCTACCTCTTGTCAGTTATTGCTAGAAGCTTTTGCTCACCTCGTACAAATGCTCAATTGTTTGAGCTACCCCTTAGATTCTCTCATTCCCCTTCTTTCCCTTTACTAATTCAACTAAATTTCCAATTTTAGGCCTATAGAGATCTTAAACCAGAGAATTTAATGGTCAGTCTTCACGGACATATCAAATTGACCGACTTTGGTTTTGCCAAAATTATTCACAATAAGTCTGTTAAATTTTATAATTTATTTCCTTGTACTTTATGAACTTTAACCTTTAAATTTTTTAAATCAATTCTTCACAAAAAATAAGTTTTTTCAATCTTTTTTTTATTTTTGACGGAAGCATGAAATCAAAATTTATAAAAAAAAGTTTGTAAATATAAGCAACTGTTTACTAAAATTTTTTGGGGTAAAAATGTGAAAATCCCGTGGATTTCTTGAGTAAATTTCTGAGAGAATTTATTAAGAATTAGGAACAGGATGGGATTTTTGTAGCAATGTCTTGAGTCCTGGATTTTTTGATAAAAAAAGGCTTTTATTTTTTTGAAAATTTCTTTCATAGCCATTATTAACTAGAGTTGTTCACGGTACGGTATTACCGCGGTATTTTTCGGTAATACCGCGGTATTTTTACCGAAATACCGATACCGATACCGATACCGCACATTTTTTAAAAAATCGGTATTTTTTCGGTATCGGTATTTTACCGAAATACCGATACCGATACCGATACCGCCTCAATCAAAATACCGCGGTATTTTTCGGTATTTCGGTATTTTCCAGGTAGACTAAAAAGTGAGTTTTTTCGCCTACAGCCTTCCGAAATTTTCAAAATTTTCGCCTGCGGCGCTGAAAAAATAAGAAAGTTGGCTTCCAATTCTAAAATTTTGGCTTCCGGCGGTGAAAAATGGAAGAAATCTGGCTTCATGGCCTTCAAGATTTTTCAAAATTTTCGCCTGCGGCGCAAAAAATGAAGAAATCTGACTTAAGGACATATTAAATTTTCAAAATTTCTGAAAAACTTTTATCCATTCAAATCTACCTTGATCCATGCTTAGCCTCCGATATACTCCATGCAATAGTCATATCAGGGATAGAAGGAATATCGAGAGATTCAATCCTCCTACCATCCTATATCACCTGATATCTATTCAAATCTTTTCAATTGGATATAATGGATTTAGAGGGACTATTTATAAACTTATTTCACATTTATTGTAGTAAATTTGCTCATTTGGTAAATTTTAAAAAAATACCGAAATACCGCGGTAATACCGACTATTTTTCGTCGGTATTTTTCGGTATTGGTATTTTACCGAAATACCGATACCGATACCGATACCGCCTCAATCAAAAATACCGCGGTATTTGCGGTATCGGTATTTTACCGAAAATACCGATACCGATACCGAAAAATCGCGTTTGCCTAACACTATTATTAACTGGGTCCTCCATAGATTAATACAGGGTTTTCCAAAAATCAAAAAGCGGCATAAAAAATTCTTATTTCAAGAAAAATCCTACTTGCAATTTTTTAAATAAAATTTCTGTCTAAATTTTTTATGAAATATTTATTAAAATTAATAGAGTTTGGACTGAGACGATACCTCGCTTAAAAAATCTAGATTATCGAGATTTGATCTTCATTGATCAATCTACTACAAAAAATTAAAAACATTTTCTTTCTTTAGAAGTTATACTCTCTGTGGCACACCTAGCTATCTGGCACCCGAAGTTTTTCAAAGAAAAGGGCATAATCAAAGTGTTGATTGGTGGGCTTTGGGCGTTCTAATTTTTGAATTGATGGCTGGTGATCAGCCTTTTCGTGGCAAGACACCTGAAGAAATTGAGGAGTCGATTGTTAATAGTAAAGAGAATGGTCTGCATTTTCCAAGACGTACTTTTAGTCCAAATGCGAAGTATGTTAAATAGATTAGTTAGATAAAATAATAAACGAAAAAATGTTGTACCAGGGGTATTCCAATATCCACCATTTGCCCTCGCCAATAAATGGCGAAGGTTTGGCATGCCAGAAAAATCGGTTCCATTAATTTCGATGGGAAATTTCTACCCCATTGTTGGCAAATGGCCTGCCGTTTTCATGATTGAAATACCCCCCCCCTTCCCCCGCAGGAGCTTAGTCTATGGTAAAGCATATCTAAGAATAGGAATACCATAAATTGTTTATTGAGTTAATTCCAATCCTATCAAAATCAAATAGATAAGCTTAATAATAAGCCTTCCTTTCTTTTATAAAATCAGTTCCTATGTTTAGGGTTTCTTGTAAAATCCTCGGATAACCGGAACTGAATCGAAGAACCCACCCGAAAAATCCTCGTGTTTTCCGTGTATACTATGTTCCATTACAAGTCATTATAAAGTCAATACTCAGTTTAACCCCCTCCTTTAAGGATCTTATGAGGTTCCTTCCTATAATTAAAAATTATTATCCTATAATTATTATCCTATTATTATCCTAAAAATTTATCCTAAAAATTATTATCCTATAATTAAAAATTATTCTTCTATTGTTCTACATATAAGATTATTTAAGAGGTTTTGACTATTGCTCTGGATTTATTAAAAATTAAAAAATTATTTTTTAAAGAGATGTTATTCGCCGTCTACTTTGCATTGAACCCAAAGACAGAATAGGTTATTCTCAATTAAAGTCTCATCAATGGTTTTGTAATTATGATTGGCAGGAACTTTATAATCGGAATTATAAAGTATTTTTTAAATATTTTTAATTGAAAAATATATTTAAAAATACAACCGGACCTCGCTAAATAAGATATACCTTGGGCTGAAAAAATTTTTTCCTATAAGGCGGATAGATAAGGGGTCTCGGATAGATATGGGGCGTACCAAGGACCAACCGGATTTTAATGATGAATGAGGTGTGAGGGAGAGTGAAGGATACCGTACCTAGGAGGAAAATTCGTACCAACCTGATTTTAAGGAAGGGTTTATTTCTGGTCTAGTATTGGGTGTATCTTATAAAGAGGTGTTTCACTACAAGTTTTAATTTTAAAAATGTTTAATAAATTTAGCCACCCTTTTTACCAACAATTTACCACGACGGCGATACCGGTAATTTTGATAGTTATCAAGAAATTGAACAATTCCCCCCTGCAAAACAGTCAGAATTGGATTTGTTTGATGAATGGTGAATTAATTAAAATAAATATATTTAATATTTTACTTTTTAAAATTTATTTCGTTAACTTCTGATAAAGATTTGAACCAATTTACTGTTAATTTTTGTTTTACACATAAGACTTGGGGTGACTGAAGGTCATTGAACGATTATGTGTGATTAAAGAGTATTAAGGTAGGGTTCTCAATATTTTTCTTATTCCCTCTTAACTGGAGATCAGAATGGCCCGATCTTACTCTTAATCACAATCGTCAGCTTGCTCATAAACAGAAATGCAACGGTCAAAGAGCTAACTTATAAGCTCTTTTTAAGTTCAAGAATAGGACCCCGGCTCATAAACTGAAAAAAATAACACTAGAATAGAATAACACGTTTATCCGAATAGTAAATACAAGAATAACGAAGGTGGCAAAAGGCGAGGATATGTAAAATCGCCCTTAATTTACCTTATTCCTTCTGTTTTTTATATTTTATATTTCTCTTTTCGCTTGATTACACTTAAACAATTAAAATAAAGACTTTAGTTTGTTTATAAAAATTCCGTAGTGCTTGGACTAATGTAAAAAATATTTTAATGTCTCATATTTCGAACCAAGAAATGTACTTGTTAATATGCTTAGACTGGTAATAGTAAATATTTTTAAATTAATTTGAAAGTGTGTGAGAGAATGAGCTTTAATTTAAAATATTGTGGGAATTTTTGTGAATTTTTACAGTTATTTTATTGACGTCCCTCATTATTTTTTTATTCATCATTTATTTAATTAAAAAAATTTTCTCAACAAACTTTTAAAAAATTAAATTTACTTCAAAACTTTTTTCCATTAAGATTATTAAAATTAGTTTTGAACCAGAAACAGGCCAAGTTTTCCTGTCATTAACCCATAAAGCGCCGTATATCTTCATAAAATCCGGGTTTTCGGGGTTCATCACGGTTTCCTCGATTTAAGCTCCCAGGCTTTAAATTTTCGGCTTTAAGCTTCAATTTGCCGGCTATAGCGGTCACCAAATAATCCTTCGATTTTTGAGAGCCTGTATTTCGGCCTATAACTGAGTCACGAATCTAATTTTGGTATCATTCGACTCAGTTCGCCCAGCTTTTTTAAATGACTTATTGTTTGTCTGGTATGAGATGTGACGTAATTTTACAGATATTTTTATCAAAGGCCGCAGAAGAAAAATGATAACATAAAAAACACAATAGCAATTCCATTGAAAGCAAACATTGTTTATACTTTAATAGCAGATTACTAGGGAATAAAATTCCTGATTTTAAGCATTATATTAATCAACACGATCCGTATATGGGTAAGGGTTCACCTTAGCAACACAACAAAAACCACGTTTTTCTAGGGTAATAAAATGCGCTGAGTTCAAAAAACACTATAAAAGGTCTCAAAACGGTGCTCCAAGGCATTTTTTTGAAGATTAAAAAAATTCATCGGCTCGAAATGGTCAGGGGGAGTAAGCTGTTTTTGGGGTCAAAAATTCGAATATACAAATAATAGCTCATTCGAAAGGGCTCGACGAGTTGAGTTGAATGGCATCAAAATCAGCTCGATTGGATGATTTTTGACAAAGTTATGACTAACAGAATCTTCGCTGGAAAAACTGTTTTTGTGCTGCTACGGAGGGTAGGCCGGGCATGGTCTTCGCTACACGATGGCCGTGCTTCGCTGCGGTCGTGCTCGCTGCGCTCGCGGCGACCGTAGCGAAGCGGCGGCCGTCGTTCCGCTCGACATGCCCGGCTTCCTCCGCAGCGGCAAAAACTTTTTTCCGCGAAAACCTTGTGGAAGGAGTAAAAACAAACGGTCATAACTTTGTCAAATCATGTCAGATTTCGTTGATTTTGGTGTCATTCAACTCAGCTCGTCGAGCTCTTTCGAATGAGGTATAATTCGTCTATTCGAATTTTTGACCCCAAAAATCAGCTTGGTCCCCCCTTTGGTTTTCGATTTTCAGGGGTCTGAAAATCCGGGAAAAAATGCCTTCGAGCACCGTTTTGAGTACTTTTATAGTGTTTTTTGAACTCAGCGCATCTTTTTACACTAGAAAAACATCACTTTCAGTGTGTTGCTAAGGTGAACCCTAGCCCGTATATGTCTTGTGATCGAAGCCTGGTTGACTAATCAAAACTTTATTCTTTCTGATTTTTCCTTTGGTGATAAATACCAATGTTTTTATGCTAATAGGGAGACCAAAAATTCCATCATAAGGGAATTTGAGAAGTTCATGAGCCAAACAAGGATACCGGGCCGGTCAAATTGAAAAGTTCAAACTCTAATTTAAAAAATTAAATTAAAAATTAAATAATTTTTTTTTTAATTTCCATCAAAAAATGGACAACAAAAGTTTCTACAGCGTTAGTTTTTAATTCTTAATTTGAATAGAATAAATAATTAAAGGCATTATATTCAAAATATAAGGATTCTGGATTTGTCCCTGAAATATTTATTAATGTATCAACTACTACACTATTTTCTTCTATTATAGTATTATCAAATCTGAGTCTTTGCTATATCTTTATTAAATATAGGTACTAAATTGAATTAAATATTATAAAAAGCCGACCCGGTCAGGTCCGAAGAATCGAGTTGGGCGTAGAATTTTGGCTCGAAAACGACTCAGTCGGTCCGGTCCGATAAACTCGAAAACTCGAAACTTAGTTCTTTATATCCATCTTAAGACCTCAATACTCTCTCTCTTTTTTCCAATAAATGAATCAAATCTGATAGACCATTAAAAAGTTCAAACACGATAAGTGCAAGAAATTAATGTGGTGATCGGAATTGTTCCATCCATTTGAAAAAGATAATGCTTATCGAGGTTTTCGAACGATATGAAATTCATAAGGATTGGATCAAGTTTAAGTTATGGACACTAAAATTCGTACAACAGGGAACTCGTAGAAAAAATTGTCACGGATATCTGATTCCCTAACCATAGTTAGGACATAGTTGGGAACAGAATGGCAGCTTTCTATTCCAATATTTTTTGATTCCTAGGCATGAATTGCAAGAAAACCAGGAAGAATTCTTTTTATTTTACAAATTAAATTTTATCAAATTTAGGCAGAAATATCTTGCATTGAAAAGCAACACAAGCACTTTACTGTTTATCTATTCAGTAATTGATAATTAGATTAATTTATTTTGTAAGAGTGTGTATTGGCCTAAATTTTTTTCCAACTTGGCTGACTAAATTTTATGTAGTTTATATAGTTATTTTTAACATTACGACTTATTTTATGTATATACTAATCAGTTTTGATCGTTTATTAGCTTTATTATTCCCAATTTTGTAAGTTTATTTAAAAATAATATTTGATAGAATTAATTGGATAAAAACACTAATGTGTTTCTAATAGTGTATTTGCATAAAATTCAAGTCTGAATGCTTTTATCGTTAATGAGATGTCCTTGAGTTGGCCCAGGATCCAACCCAGGTCAATAAATCAACCCAGGAACAGGCCCAGGCGTTTTAAAAATCTCGATCTCTTTTAGATATCCCCCGACGAGTGAATCGAACCATACCAGGGCGTCCCAGATTATATCATAAAAGTTATAATTCGGCGGTACCTTGGGGTGTGCACATTGATGAATAATATTGTAAGGCCGGGTTCATCCTGAAATCACGTGAACAATAATGTTGCTTTAAACTTTGTGCAAAGTAACGGAAGTTCCCAGAGAAAAGGCAAAGAACGCCACAAACGGCCATTCCCAGAGAGCTATTAGCAGTCCATTATCTAAGTTTATTATCGCCACTAACTTATCCTTGGGAAAGCAATATGGAAGTAAGCTGGTGTTTATAAGCTTTAATGGAATAGGCAAAGGCAGATCACTTCTTCATTCATTCAACAGAGTTGCCGGCCGGCCAATCCATCCTTGTAGGGAAAACGTCTCCCTATATTCCCCCACTGCGTGCGATTCACCTATTTCTATACTCTGCGGAGTTCACACATGATTGCAAGCATGCGCGACTCTGCCTATAACAACAACTGAACAACGAGGCACTGGGGAACGGGACCAACCGCTTTACTGGTAGCACCGGATGGTTCCTCACCTTTTGCCGAGAAAATTTTGAGTTAGGAATAGGTTGGGGAATTTTTAAAAGATGGGATTTAGATTTATTATTTGGCCTCAAAATCCGCGGTTCAATTTTATTAAATAATTATTTTTGAATGAATAAATTTTTGCGCTCAAAATCCTAGGTCCCCCATTTTGACATTAATTAATTTTTGAATGAAGATTTTATAAAATATTAGGGGGTAATTTATGAGTGATCTATCCTCTGCGGAGGCCATTTATATTAAATTTATTTTTTAAGAGAAAAATCATAAAAATAAAAGAATTATAATAATAGAAAAATAAACTAACAAATTATTTTTTCCTCAGTAACCCCCATTTTTGATAATAAATTAATATTTAAATGAAAAACCTAGAAAATATAATGGGGTTAATTTAAAAGTGATCTATCCTCTGCGGAGGCCAATTATATTATAAATTATTTTTATCATCAGAACCCCGCTTTCAATAAATCAATTTTTGAATGAAGAATTTAATAAAATATAGGGTGGTTAATTTTAGAGTGATCTATCCTCTGAGGAGGCCATTTACTTATTATACATAGAATAAGGAAATTTAAAAAATTTTTTATTGAATAAAGATTATAGAATTTAATGAAAATATTTAACCCTCTGAGGAGGCCATTCAAATAAATTATTTTAGGGAGAAATAAATAAAAATTGCCTCTAGTCAGAAATCCCGTTATATCATAAAACTGCGTTAATATTGGTTAAATGTTAAAAAAATGCTGCGGCATTCTCTATCCTCTCTTTATGAACATTTTTTCATTGGACTATTATTTTCTGATAGTTTTTATTAATCAATTGCAACTAATCATCTCAAGAATGTCAGCAAATTCAATGAGTAACACATATTTGACAACTTAAACAAACTTGTTCTGCATCCCGCGGGATATTCAAAATTTATTACTAATACAAATGATCTTTTC